GTGTGTGTGTGTGTGTGTGTGTGTGTGTGTGTGTGTTATGTGTTGGGAAATGTCGGGACCAGAAAGGATGCTGAGAAAGGGGCAGGACAGGGGACCAGACTGGACAGCATCTGTGAACCAGAATCCATTTCAGTTGTGACCTTTGGAAAACAGCGAGTCTGTTCCTATTATTAGCCTGGCCACAGTTATAGATATCCAGACTGTTCTAGATTAAATACCTCCTCTTGCTGGGTATTTTAGAATTTAAAAAGTTCTGCTGTGAATAATTCTGGATGCCCACATGACACTGAACAGTGTCTGTATTGGAAAAAGAGCGGAGCAGTTTACGAACTGAAGACCGAGGTGGGTGGTTGGGGTGCTTCTAGTCTTGACAGCCCCTACCCCAGAACCTCAGCTTGACCTGTTGGCCTGCAACAGTGGCTGATTCTGTGTCGGGACCTTGTGTCTGGAGGGACGCTTCCCAGTGTCGCTGACGCTCATGTCTCCTGCTGACGATCACAGGTGTCTCTGCACCTCGCTCCAGGAGTAAGTCACTCCTGGTTAAAGAAAAAGGGGGTTAAGTACCTGCAAATCTGTGTTTGACGTGAGGAGGCGTCTTATTTATTGCTATTATTATTATTATTACTATTGTTGTTGTTGTTGTTGTTGTTATTAATTTTTCCTGGAAGAAGTTTGCCTCTGTTTCTGAGATCCCTTCATTTCTCGCTTGCCCCGCTAACTTCTGCCGCTTTGTAAACGTGCGCATTTGTGGTCTGTGGTTAGCATGTGAGCCTGTTAGTGGAGGTCTGGTTAGTGGTCTTGTTCACCTTTTTATCAGAGACGATTCTCACAAGACACTCTCCTTTTTGTTCCTTGTGAAGCTCCGAATCTCCGGATGAAGCCGGTGACAGCCCTGGGTGTCCTCTCCCTTGTTCTCAACATCATGTGCGCAGCCCTGAACCTCATCCGCGGAGTTCACCTTGCAGAACATTCTTTACAGGTGACCCTCTTTACAGGGTTTTTGGTTTTGTTTTTGGTGGCATTGGGGATTGATCCCAGGACCTTATGAATACTTCCATTGGACCTTTTAGCCCGGAGCTACACCCCCAACTCTTGTTTGCAAGTGACAGAAGCTCATGATGGGAGGCATTTTATTTATCAGATTGTTAGTATTTTGTTTTTGTTAAATTTTCTGAGACAGGGTTTCTCCATGTAGCTGTTCTGGAGATCGTTCTGTAGGCCAGGCTAGCCTTAAACTTATCCGCCTGCCTCTGCTTCCTGAGTGCTGGGTTTGAAGGCGTGTGCCGCCACCCAGCAGAGGTAGGTTTTATGACTGATAATTTTTGAAATACTACAGTTTAGATTTTTGTTTTGTTTTTCTCAAGACAGGGTTTCTCTATGTAGTCCTGGCTGTCCTGGAACTCACTCTGTAGACCAGGCTGGCCTCGAACTCAGAAATCCGCCTGCCTCTGCCTCCCAAGTGCTGGGATTAAAGGCGTGTGCCATCACCGCCCGGCCAGTTTAGAAATTTTAATCCATGAACTGGATATTGTGGTGCTCCCCTGCCGTCCCAGCACTGGGGAGGTGGAGGCAGGAGGATCAGAAGTTCAAGCTCATCTTCAGCTACATAAGAGTTCCGGGCCAGCTTAGGGTATCAGATAAAAGAATAAAACAAAAAAATTACTTTTTGTAGTAAGTTGAATAAATCTGGAAGGATCCTGTTTGTGGCTATTCTTGGGAGTTCTGCGGTGTTGCTAAGATGCAGACAGCTTTGGTGCAGGAACTCTGGGCTGCCTCTGTGCCCTCTGTGCCCTCTGGGCTGCTTCTGTGCCCTCTATGGCCTCTGGGCTGCCTCTTGCCCTTAGGAACCCAGGTTCTGTTAGCAGCAGGATATAGGCTGGATTCTGACACTGTCAGGTTCTAGGGAAGGATGTTACCACCATGTGATGTGTGGCAACAGAAGCCTTTTCTCTCTGTCAGAGAGATACATCCTGGGCCCCAGTGAACATACCTTTAGTCGGCCACTGATGGTGAAGTCACTTTCTATTTCAAAGCTTTTAAAAAATATTTCTTTAAAAATATATTTAGAAGTATGTCAAATATTTGACAAAGGAATAGAATTATTATTAGCTCAGACAGGTAGTTGGTGTTCTTAAAGATAGAGCCATATGTTTTCATAGATTTTTTTGTCTCATATTGCTTTGTTTTAGCTTTTTTTTTTCTTTTTTTTTTTTTAAATCTTACTGTTCCTTTGCTTGTATATTATGGTTTCTCTGTGCATATTTGTGTGTGTGCACATGTGTGCATCTGTGTGCCTGTGTGTGTTTATGTGAGTGTGTACATGTGTGTGTGTCCGTGGGTGTGTCTACATGGGTGTGGGTGTATGTATGCATGTGTGTATGTGTGTATGTGTTTACTGTGCTTTTTGTCTTCTTTCCTGCATGTTTGTTTTTGTAAAGAGAGAAAGAACGTATGGAGTTGGTTGGGTGGGAAGGTAGGAGGATGTGTGAGAGGGGAAATTGTGATCAGAGTATATTGGATGAATTTTCCGTTTAAAAAGAATAGAGTTACAACGCTCACAACAATGTTCTGTGTTGATGTCATAGTAAGGGTAGTAGCTGTGGGTGGTGAACGCTGTGGGTGGTGAACGCTGTGGGTGGTGAACCCAGGGCGCTGATGGAGACAGACTCCTTTGAAGAGCAAGGTCAGGCCTGTTAGGAGAGGGGTAATGTAATAACCACTGGGCTACCACACCTCATCTTTGACCAGTGTGTGATGGGGATCCGGAACTTGACAGCTGTTTGTTGTAGAACTGGTGCCTGGATGGGAAGGTGGTTAAGACAGACCCTGCCTTGAGTTCTCATGGCACAGGGCAAGGGACAGCACTGAGGAGGAGACAGGTCAGGGACAGCACTGAGGAGGAGACAGGGCAGGGACAGCACTGAGGAGGAGACAGGGCAGGGACAGCACTGAGGAGGAGACAGAGCCCAGGGCAGGTGCTAAAGAAGTTCCACGTTGACAGATGAGAAGGCTTTTGAGGGGTGCAGGGACGGGAGCTCGTTCCCTGTGAGGACGTATCATGGAGGCCTGGGACAGGAGTGTACAGTGTCTGTCTAATCATCGAATATGGTCACATGCCAGTGCTATGTCTGGCTAGATCTGTACGGTCAGTCAGAGGATGAGGGCAGCAAACTTGATGTCGTGGTGGTTCCTTTCAAACCTTTCTTCTGTGCCCCATCTCTTCAGGTCGCCCAGGAGGAAGTTGGAAACATCCTGGCTTTCTTTATTCCGTCTGTGGCCTGCATTGTCCAGGTGGGTGTAGTCCCTGATGAGGGGCTTTTCAAGACTGCAGGCTGGTGACTGAGGGAAGCGTGACATTCAGTGTGGCTGAGACTCAAGAGAAACCACAGCGGGGACCCATGGCTTTCCATGCCAGCTCACTCGGCTGTCATGGTCCCGAGGAGGAGGACCTCACAGGGAGGCCACTCAGTCCTGGGAGGGTCTCCCTACCTGGTCTGCCCCTACTGCATCTCTCACTTCCCTGCATCACAGTCTGCACACCTGCCTGTGTGTCTCTAACATCCCTCCTCCTGTGATACCTGTTGTGTTCTCTTTCAAATCACCCGTTCATCCAGTTAGCAGCAGACGGTCCTGGCTTTGCTGCAGCAAATCCAGTTAATAAGTGAATGCATGCAGATGTCAGTTAATAAGTAATGCATGCTGGTGTCAATAAGTGAATGCATGCCAGTCACAGTAAGTGAATGCATGCAGTTGTCAGTTAATAAGTGAGTGCATGCAGGTGTCAGTGAGTGAATGGATGCAGGTGTCAGTTAGTAAGTGAATGCACGCAGCTGCCGGTCCCTGACCTGACTTGAGGCTGCTGCTCTCTGATTGGATGTGCTGTGGTCTCATTTCAGTGTTATCTGTACCTGTTCTACAGTCCAGCCCGGACTCTGAAGGTGCTACTGTTGCTGGCCTCCATCTGCCTGGGCAATGTGTACCTGCATGGGCTGAGGAACACCTGGCAAATCCTCTTCCACATAGGAGTGGCTTTTCTGTCTTCATATCAGATCCTGACCAGACAGCTACAGGAGAGGCAGTCAGACTACGGAGTGTGATGAGGGTGTCCTGCAGTGGATGGCACCTTTGATTTTTTTCCCCCACTTTGGAAGGCCAGTCTGTTTCCACTCCTGCTTCTCAACTTCACCTCAAACCTCCATCCTTGATGCTCCCAAGGTCACAGATTCTGGCGGGTGCAGCGGAGGACCCGGGGCTGCTGGTTGCCAATCCTGGTCTGTGTGGAACGTTTGTGCAGAACCACCAGCCGAGCACAGGACAGGGCAGCCGGTGCAGGAGCTTGCTCGGAGAGCATCCGTGGCGGTCAGAGTGGTGGTATCTTGGTCTCCTAAATCTAATGATAACTGCAAACCACTAGATTCCATAATGGTAGGTTTAGTAACTGGCAAGTGTCTATCAGTGTGTGGACTCAGCATAAGTTCTGCTTTCCTTACGTCATCAGCACAGGTAAATAAGCTTGAGAATATGGCTCACAAACACAAGGTAGATAAATTTTGTTTACATTTTTTGATAACTTGGGTTCGATAAACTTGGAATATTTAAATATATTTTGGATATAAATTGAAACTCATTCAGAATGGAGCGAACTTAGGCTGAGAAAATGCTAAGGAAACCCAGGTTTATTTAAATGACAGAGACCTTTTATGGTGGCGGGACTTTAAGGATACCGATGTGGTTTATATTTATTTGCAGAACCTATCCGAATTCTGTTTGGATTAATCACCGTATCACTGGGTCATAGACACATAGGCATGAGCAGATGAGATTCAGGGTCCTCTAGGAGGGCAAGGTGGAGGGGAAATGCCAGGGTTTCAGAGGTCCTTGACAGAAATGGGGGAGGCTGCTGTTATCTGCCTTTGTTGTGGCAGCTGGGTGCTCGGCCACTGTAGATGGAGATGTGGTCCCGCACACCTCCTCTTAGAGAGAGAGGCCTCCTGAGTTAATTACTCCTCCGCCCTCCCTTGAGCATCTTAATTAGACCACAGGCCTCGTTTTATGGACAGGTATTAAGTAGGTGTTAATACTCAAAAGCTTTGTGTAACTGGCACATGCTCTGTAAAGCTGCTACGGCGTGCTTCTGAGGAAGAGCCCCCTGCATCTCCAGTGTGGGTATCTAGTGGTACTCAAGAAACCATGTTGGGGTTCACCCCTCTGGCTTGTTCTTGGAGTCTACCCACAATTTCATGGGTTGGCCCAAGAGACTCCAAAAGTGATAAGCCCATTTTGGTAGTTTTTAAAGGAGAAAACCATCCCAAAAGTTACGGAGAAGTGGGGAAAGACAGAGCATAGGGTTAGACAATTCTGTTAAATTTGGCTATTACCAGTGACCTGTGTTAGTCAGCTGTTGGGTATCATTTCAGGAACGAGGTTTTGTGACTCAGAACTGGATTGAAAAAATATCTCCATTGTAATTGTCTTTCCTTATAAGAGAATTTTCTATTTTTAATCGAATCTGCAATGTCCGGGTATGAATGTCATATTGGCAGCATCCTTGGATGTGGGCTTCAGCCTTTCGTCTCTGTTGATCTCAAACCTGTGTAACACACCTGTGTGTACATTTGTGTATACTGTGTAGGCAAATGCTCACTCTTCCTGATAGAATTCTGAGGTGGGAAAGAGGAAGGCAGAGGAGGAAGAAAATTCTTTTAACTCAAAGCACACATTCAAAAAAAATTTTAAAGTAATTTAAAAAAATCAGCCTAAAGCTGTATTGTTTTCCCCTTAAGCCTGTGTGGTTCTGTGTTGCTCTGTATCTGGACACCGCACACACTCTAGGGTCTGAGCCTCTGGTTGTCAATCCACAAGCAGTAATGAAGCAAGGGTTCCCTGAGGGCATCCTTGTCACAGATGCCTCACACTTCGTAGATGCTAGTGAGGTGTTATACGCTTGGTGACAAGGCTGGTGACTTATCATCTAAATAGGGTTCCAGGCTGACTCTTAGAAGTGGAAGGAGAAGACATCCTCAAGAGAAAAAATGCACTGAGGCAGAGTCCAGCCAGGAGAAGCCTTACCTCCCTGGAGGAAGAAGCTAACGACAGGACAGAAGTCCCAGGCTTTGGTGCCTTGGTTCAGGCTTAGATGTTTGTAGCCCGGTGGGAGCCAGGACACATTGGTTCCAAGGCAGGAGTGTTTCTTTGCCCATTGCTGGCTATTCTTCTGGTGGGTGCTGCTTGCCCAGTGGCTCACAAGAAATGGTGCAAACAGAGTGAACTGAAGGTGCTTTCCTGTTCAGGGCTGCCTGTCTGCTGTTAGCCTGTGGGAGCAGCCCTGCACGGGCTTAGGCAGAAAGCATTTGGTTTGGGTTGCTTTTCCCTCAGTGAGCATCACCTTGAGAGGAACTCTACCAGTCTCTCCCTTTTCAGGGTGGAGACAGCTGGGCCATCTGAGGTCAACTTCCCTCTTGGTCCCAAATGCCTCACAGACCCCACGGGAGCAGTAGGGTTGTGGCCCTTGCTATCCGTGAACCCTGTTGACGCGTGTTACTTGACCCTCTTTCTTTCCTAGTTACGGTGGTGTTTCCCCTCCCCGGCCTGTTTCCATGCCTCCTACATTCCTGGCTCCAGATGGAGATGCAAGCTAGAGTCTGTGGAGAGACAGGAAGCCTAGCATCAGTGATGGAGAGGGAGGCAGCTTTGGAATCCCGCCCTCTGCTCCGCCCTCTGCCCCGCCCTCTGCCCTGCCTTGCCTCAGCACTCAGGGGAAGCAGCAGTTTGGTTGTAGGCATTGCTTGGGGTCAAGGGTCACAGCCAGCAGGCCTAAATAGGTGGCTGTTTGGAGAGTAGGAGGTGGCCTGGGGTGGGAAGAGGAGTGGCTGCCCATCTTCGGGTGCCCTGGGTGTGTCAAGGGCTGCATGCCACGCTTTCATTCACTCCTGTCCCGTGCTGCTCCCCAAGGGAGCCACCTGTAACCTCAACACTTCAAGCTCCCTCCCGTGTGTCTGACAGGAATGACGTGTGACGGAGGCTGTACACGGCCAGGGTGCTCACTGCTGTCAGCCGTGTCCAGCAAACACTTGCTAAGCTGTTGCACGTGTCTGTCTCCCCATGTGTGCTGTGAGAGCCCAGAGTGGTGGATAAAGAGAAACCAGGGTGCTCCTGAGATATGAGGTAGGGGAAAGGAGCACACAGGTAAGCCAACCCAGTGGCCTGGAGAGCAGTGGGGTTCTTCCACTCAGGCCTGGGTCACAGTAGACATCCCTCCTCAGTGCCCATAGGATTGCAGGTGACCACAAAGGGGACTGCTATACATAGACAGGATGCATCAGGCAGCAGGCTACACCAGCGTTCAAGCATCTACCGGGTGGCATTTTATACTGCTGCAGTACAAAGACCCCATGCCTTCATTCCAGAGAGGAACTGGCTCCATTCATTCCCAGATCTGCCTCATGGTTTCTGTACATGGAACCCCGATACAGTCAGCGTCAGTAGATCTGCTTCAGAATTCAAGGAGCTGGGTTTGTAGGCAGGCTCCAGTCTCAACAAGGAAAGCTCCTTTGCTCCACCACTCCCGGCCACCCAGAACAGAGTTATCACTTTTCTTCCTCTTCTTCCTCCTCTTCCTTCTCTTCTTCCTCCTCCTCTTTTTCCTCCTCCTCCCTCTCTTCCTCCTCCTCTTCTTCCTCCTCCTCTTTTTCCTCCTCCTCCCCCTCTTCCTCCTCCTCTTCTTCCTCCTCCTCTTCCTTTTTTGGTTTTGTTTTATTTTTCAGTACAGGGTTTTCTCTAGCCCTGGCTGGCCTTGAACTCAAGATCCACCTGCCTCTGCCTCCCAAGTGCTGAGATTAAAGGCATGTGCCACCACCGCCTGGCTGGCACTGTCAGTCTTGCGTTGCTGGAGAGACAGATGGCAGCAGGACAGCTGTGGAAAGGGGCTTGGTATTCACATCTGGGAATAGTGGGCTAGGGAAGTGTCTGCACACATGAAGGTATGGGCAGGGCTGTGACCCTCAGCTGCCTTTTATCTTAAGGTAAAATGAAACCCGTTCTTTCTTTCCCTTTGAGCCGTGTTTGCTGCATACATGCGGCCTTGATCCCTAAGTTGATATGACCCTTCGATTGCTTCAGGAACATTGTGAGTTCTTTGTATAACTCAGCCTCTAGGATTTGATTTGATTTAATGGGCTTTTCTACTAAGAAAATAAAAACCGAGGCTAGTTTCGGCAAAACCAGTCACCCCTCAGTCACCCTCCGTATGTGCTGCCCACGCTATAAGCTACTTTTCCATTGACAACAAAGGTCTATTTTGAGTCCATGATGGGTACATTCTAACTTTCACATGCTCAAACTGAAACGTGTGTCAGCGTGCGGATCTTATACAGCTGTTTATATACTGTGTATATTAAAATTAAAATGACGTGAGGTGGCTTAAGTGTGTGGAGAATAAATCTAAAGTGTTTACGTGTGTGTGCCCGAGTGTGTGTGTGTGTGCGTGTGTGTGCACGAGTGCACACTCGTGCACATGAACAGCTCTGAATCAGGGTCTGTTTTGCTTGTGGGTCTGAGGTGTGGTCTGTGGGAGAGGTTTTGGGGGGATGTGACATTCTGATCTGAACAGGTCTGAGGACTCAGGTTCTAGTACAGTTCCTTAACCAGAAGGGCAGGGGTGGGGATGTCCTATGGGCTGGGCAGCCTACAGGCTCTGTAGCTGCCACTTTCTCTGTGCCTGAAAGGCACCTCAGAGTTCTGTACTAGGGGTGAAGGTTTCGTTTCCGTTTCCACAGGCCAGCCCTATCAAAGAATGGCCACCAGGAGGCGCAGCAGCTGGTCACATCACCTAGTCCCACCCCAGGGCTGCTGCCCTTCTCAGAGGCTGCTTTGAAACAGCTGACAGAATTCCCAGGAACAGTGGGAAGTCCAAACAGCCTCTTTGGACCAGCCTCCTAAGCCTTGCGGGGTGGGGGGGGAGGTTAGGGGGTGTTCCCAGTGTCTCTCCTTTGTCCAGAGTACCAGCCATTGCAGGAGGCCAAGGCCATTTTCCAATACGAATTTGAGTTGCTGGATTGGGATTTGAAGGTAAACAAGTCCCGTTGCTCAGGTGAAGAAGCTGAGACCTGGCCAGTCAGAGGGCAGCCCAGAGACCTGTCCCCTGGCCTAGAAGGGAGGGCTGTCCCATTTGGTAGTATCCACTAATAATAAACCACAAGTCTTGGGCCATGAAGATGCCTCTTCTGTGCCAGGAAGAGTTAGGACTGATGGGTCTCTGCCTTTTCCTTGAGTCCTTGCAGGAGGCCTGATGACACCTGCCAAGCATGCTTACCCTGTGCCAGCAGAGGGAAAGACTAAGAAGGGCCCGGCAGAGGCTCTGTAGGAACCAGTTCATAGATGAAGGGACAGATGGAGGGTCAGATGGACAGGGCAAAGTCTGGAGTTTGCTGAATGCCAAAGAGAAAACCCTCAGGTCTGAGGGGGAAGATCCTTTACCTAAAGTCACAGGCACAACCCTTAAAAAGATGGACATGTTTGGGGCCAAAGAGATGGCCCCATAGTTAAGGGCACTGATTGTTCTCTCAGAGGACCTAGATTTGGTTTCCAGCATTTGCATGGCAGTTCACAAGTGTCTGTAACTCCAGTTACAGGGGATCTGATGCCTTCTGGCTTCTGCAGACACCAGGCCTACATGTGGTGCACTGATACACACACATGGGAAACCCCATAAATAAAAAAAAAAAAGTTAAAAATGTTTAAGAAGATTGACAAGTTTGATAACAGGAGATCCTGGGAAAGTGAAAAGAACTAGAGAATCTGGTCAGAAGTGGATGCAGGAAGGACTGCAGTTTGTGTGGGTTGGCAAGAAACCACAGTTGCGATTAAAAACCCTAACAGTGGGCAAGCGACAGAACAGGTGACCATCAGGGCATGGGTACATGTTAAAACAGCAGGAAGACATCACCTTATGCCTATGAACTTTGCCAAATAGTAGGCTGAATGGCCTGAGGTGTGGCTGAGTCAGTAGGATAACTAACATACCAGAAGCTCTAGGTTCAGTCCCTAACACCACACACGCCAGGCATGTGGCTCAAGACTATGGTCCTAACACTCAGAGGAGACAGGAGGATCAGAAGTTGTTCTTGGCACTACTTAGGTGTTCAAGGCCAGCCTGGGCTACATGAGACCCTGTATCAAAACAATGAAAAGAGTGTCCATGGCTGCTTCTGGGTCCAAAAAGGAGCCAAAGCAGAGACTAGGGCTTGGAGTGGTAAGGGTGTGCTTCTGGGGACCATGAGGGATAGGGTGAGTGGGAAGCAGGGAGTAGGAGATCTCAAGGGGAGAAAAGCAGCAGTGGGCACCCGTCAGCGCCCCCATCCCTGAACCGTCCTCCCCAGATCCAGGCCGACTGAGGTAGTTTTCTGACCCAGACTTTCCCACAGGAGGCTGAAAGGCGTCATGAGGACAAGGAACAGCTGTAAGGGGACAGAGGTGTCCCCAAACCACCCTCCCTCCCACCCCAGAAATAGCCTGAGCCCAGAGTGTGAGCCTGAGGAAGTGAAGCCAGGGTGACAGGGGCTTGGTGAAGTAGACCAGGACCACCATGGCCCTGGGGGCTTGTTCCAGGCACATTTTCCAAGGCCCCAGGGATCAGTGCAAGGGCCAGAGGCAAGGAACGTGGGGCCAGTCAGAGTGAACTTTCTCACGGGACTGTCCAGCAGGCCTTACAAAAGCCGGAAGCTCACTGTCCTGGAGGTGTGTACGCTGAGGGCTTGGGTGCAAGGGACCTTAGAACATGCTGTCCTCATCACAGGCATCATCTTGTCTCATTGCTGGTATCTGAGGGGACATCTGCTCGTCTCCCTGTCCGTCCATCCTTGGGTGAACCAGCCACAGGAAACAGCCTGTGCCAGCTCCCATTTGAAGAGTAAATATTAGTCTTTTCAAGAGCTGCCTGTTCCCTGTCACTTGGCACAGAGGGTGTTGAGCTTGGGGTAGGGGACCTCTTGGTCTCTACATGCTTGATGGGGTCTGTGTCCCTCTGTTGCTACTGCACTGGAGGGCTAAAGAAAAGTCCCATCTCTGCTTCCAGCCTGCAGAAGAGCACCCCAGACCCTAAGCCCTCCTTCATCCCGCACCCCTCTCTCCTTCCTCAGTTACTGATGAAGGGGTCTGGGAAGTTTGACTTGACTTGATCTTATTAAGGTCTGTAGGCCCCAGTTCTGATTTATGTGCCCATGAAATACCGTGCTTATCAGGAAGGGGGAACAGCCTGCCCATGTCTTCCTGTCAGTGCCTAGAGGAGGTCTTGGAAGCAGTCTACCTGACTATGAAGTCCTAACTCCAGTCGCTAACCTGTTTATTTCCTCTGTGATTCTCCATATATGTCTCTATTTTCAGTACTGGGTATACAGTCTCTCGCCCCATCCCCGGTATCAGCCCCTTTGCACAGGGTGAGTAGTGAGCCTTCTCACTAACTGTACGAAGGTTAGCCTTCGTTGCCATAACTGTACGTGGAATCACACGCCTTTGGGTCTATCTGTGAAGACATTTCCAGGAAGGATTAATGAAGAAGGGAAAGCCCACACACTTCCTTTGAATGTGGGTTCCTCTGTGTGGGTTCCTCTGTCCCATGGGGTAAAGAGGAGAAAGCAAGCTGGCACCAGCGTCCATCTCTCTGAATGTCATCAGCTGCATTGCAGGCGTCTTCTGTGACTTCTCTGTCATCGAGAACAGTGTCCCTCTAACACCATGACACTGCTGAATGTATGTGAAAACATGGTGTGACAGAGTCAGAGCTGGGATTCCGAACCCTCAGTCCCACAAGCCACTGCCCTTTTCTGTCCCAGGGAAAGGTGGGAAAGAAAAGGGAGGGCTTCCAGCTCCCTGTGAGAAGAAGATGCTGTAGAACTGCTGGGAGAGGAGGAGGGGGACCTAACACAAGAGGCTCTGTCTTGTGTCCTGGAACACCTTGAGGGAGAAACTGAACACCGCTAAAAGAGGATTATTGCCCCCACTCCATGGAAACAAGAGCCCCTCCCCCAGCCCTCCGCAGCTTTCAGGGAAGGACCCTACAGACTGTTGCGGAGAGGATTTGAGTGAAGGTAAGTTTGGTACACCATGGGAAGCCTAGCTCTTGGGAAGCTGGGCGAGATGATTCAAAGTCAAGGCTAACCTCTCTGCCTGGTCAGATCCCTTTTAGAAAAAGTTCATATTACATTTTTTTAAGATGGAGGGAGGAGGCAGCTCGGTTGGTAGAGTACTTGCCTAACAGGCCTGAAGCCCTGGGTTTGATTTCCCACCACAGCATAAACACGGCGTGGTAGTGCACACCTGGTATGCTAGCTAGCACTCCGGAGGTAGAGGCAGGAGAATCTGAAGTTCAAGGTCGTCCTCAGCTACATAGTGAGTTCAAGGCCAGCCTGGGTCACATGAGATTCTCGCCCCTCCCCCACCCCTGAAAAAAGAGAATAAAGGGATAAAGGCCTCCCAGAGGCCTGGAACCTCCAGAGAGCCACAGGGCATGAGCGAACTGGCTCTTGTAGGTCTGTCCACGAGCTACCTGGTGCATGGTGGGGTCCACCCTAGAAGTTGTGGTAAGACAGCTCACACCTAGAAAAGATAGGAAGCAAGGCTGAGACTGAGGGGATCCGGAGTTCCTCAGAGGAAGTGGCTCAGCCAGAGCCTGCTAAAAGAACAGGCTGTGAACAATGGTCATAGTCGTATATAGCAAGGCTGGGGAGTGCCCTCAAAGACTCAGTGCCAGGTTCTTCTCTGTCCAGACAGACATCTCACTGGGCTCTGCCTGGTGTTCTTCTGCCTACCTCTTCCTTAGTTTCCACAGCAATGCCATGTGGAGACTATCGGGGCCCCCAGGAGGGACCTGCCAGTCTCTGGTGCGGGCTGTGATAGCTTGAACGTGAGCTGTTCTCCACGGCCTTGTGCATCTGAGCGCTTTGTCCCCAGCTGATGACACTGTGTTGGAAGGTGTTTAAGAAGTAGGGCCTCATGGGAGGAAGTGGGCCACTGAGGGTGAAACTTGGGGGTTGACAACCTTGTACCACTTCCTGCCAGCTCTTTGCTTCCTCACGGTTACCACGGTTCCTGCTCCAGCCCTCATACCTTCCCTGATGTGATAAACTATACTCTTTATTTTAAAAATGTTTTAAAATGATTTATTTATGTGTGTGTGTGTGTGTGTGTGTGTGTGTGTGTGTGTGCGTGTAAGCGAATCCCACATGTGTGCAGGTACCTGTGGAGGCCAGAAAAGGGCATCGAATCTCCTTAGAACTGGAGGCCCAGGCAGCTGCAAACAGTGTGAGTGCTGGGGCCTGAACTCAGGTCCTCAGAAGGAGCAAATGTTCTTAACTGCTGAGCCGTCTCTCCAGCCCCCTCTCTTCCCCTCTTAAATAGTGAGCCAAGCTCCCCTTCCTTACATTGCTTGTCTGTTTTACTGCAGCAAAGGGAGTAATTAGTCAGAACCCTCACCTGGAGCTGTGATGGCCTGAACCTTGGGCAACAAAGACAGTCATGGGCTGACACTTCTTTTCTGCCCCTCAGGCATGCTCTGCCAGCTCCTCAGAATCCCAGTTGCCCTGTGGGTGGCCAGCTCTATCAGTCATTTGTATGGGTTTTCTCCACTTCGAGCTTCTTTGTTCTGCTTCCTGGCCATAGACCTTTCTCACTTCACTGTGGAGAATGTGTGCTGTAAAGCCACCACACTGCTGCATTAGGAGAGGCATCCAGCCTTTCCTTTCCACCCCTCTGTGTTCCTGTGTGTTCTCAGGTCTGGAAGGCTCTAGGAAAGCCTCCCAGATTCTACACCCTGGATTCTCCTAGAGAGAAGCTTTGGCAATGATTGGAAGGGCCCGGGAAGATGCAGACAGTTCTTCTACAGTGTAGTGGCCACTGGCAGGCTCTGGCTGGTCACGGAACTTTCTTGTCACTAGCTCAATAGATGAACAACAGGGACGTTGGAAGGGATCTTTTGGGGTAGGAGCCACAAGTCTAGAGTGTGCCCTGACTTCTCTCCTACCTGCCCCCCACCACTGACTCTCATTCTGCACAAAACGCCCAATGCAGTTCCCTGTCCTGAGCCATGGCTGACTTGCTGCCGTCAGCTCTCACACATATACCAAGCAGCTCAAGTGAAGCCAGCCAAAGACCACACATGTCCCCAGAGAGCCGCAGAAGGAGACCGAGCTCGATTTAAAAATGAGTCATCTTGCTTTATGGAAGCTTGGCTGTCCTAGTTTGCTTTCTGTGGTTGCGATAAAACACTTCCCCAAAGCAACTTGGGGAGGAAAGGGCTTATTTCGTCTTACACTTTAAACTCTATCATTGAGGGAAGCCCAGGCAGGAACTTGAGCGGGGAATCAGAGGCAGGAACTGAAACAGAGACCACGAGGAATGATGCTCATTCGCTTTCTCTCTGCCTCTGCTCAGCTAGCTTCTGTACACAACCTAGGCCCATGGGCCCAGGGGTGACCACTCACAGTGGGCTAGATCCTCCTCCATCAAAACAATCAAGGAAATGCCCCCACAGATGTGCACACTGATGGAGGCAGTTCCAATCTGATGGAGGCAGTTCCAATCTGATGGAGGCAGTTCCAATCTGATGGAGGCAGTGCCTCAGTTGAGGATCTCTCTTCCCATGTGTCTCTAGTTTGTGTCAAGTAGAACCCCTCCTCTTGACACCCATTATCCCTATGTCCTGTGTGGACATTGATGAGGTGACCTTGTGACCTACCCTCCTCATCCTGTGCTCTGTAGAAGGTAAGTCCTAGATGGGTTATCTTTCTGGATAAGGTATCATCTTTCCTTGCTATGGATGTGCTTCTGGGCACATGCAGCTCAGTCAGGGCATTGACAGGCTTCTTACAGACCAGAGAGAGAGCTGAGAAGGGAAGTGGAAACACGGGCCTACGCTGACACGAACCTCAGGGTTAGCCCTGGGGCTGTCCCATCTAGTTGGCATAACCCTGGTCTTTTGTGGAAACACACAGAGGAGAGCCTGTAGCTGTCCAATGCTTATACCACAGTAGCATCCCAGAATTCAGGGATGCTGAGACTCCTGGACTGTGACAAGGGCTAGGGTGTGACGCTACAGAGGCAGTTCTGAGGGTGCAGCAGCTGAGCAGGTGAACAAAACAGCAGCTCAGGACTCAAGGTAAATAATATTTTAATTCAGTATTTTAAAATATCAAAATTAATGCAAAAATACAAGATAAACAATATGTCAAGAAGGAATTAGGACTGTTAACCGGATCAACTATTTCTGTGTCTCCAGGTAGGGCACAGCCCCCCATCTTTGACAATATATAGAATATCTGAGGCACGACCAGGGGATTTGGAAAGTTGTGTTCAACATCTGCCTCTATGATGACTTTCCTTCTCTATTTTCTGGTTATCCCATCTGTGTTGTGTGGAGGCTGGGGCATTGCCAGGTTGACCTCCTGATGCATCCCTCTGGTCTGCTGCGGTTGCTCTGTCCTTTTCCTGGGAGGCTGAGTCTTCAGGGCCATAGACTCCCGGGGCTATTAATATCTTGGCCATCCCTGCCTAGAGCAGGGTGTTTAATGACTGCCAGCTGTGGCTCCGCCCCTTCCCCTTCCCCCAGAGAGATAGGAGCTGTTCCTGTTCCCACATGGGGGTAGGGAAGCTGGCCACTGCTCATTAAAACAGACCTGATGGGCAGCTAGGATGGAAGGGCTGAGTCAGCCTCCTCTTCCAGCTGTGCCCAGCACACCCCAGGGGGTGCCTGGGGACTTGTCCGAACTCTCACTGTTCCAGAGGGGCTCTTCTCAGATACCCTGCAGACATAACATTCAGCATGTCCCAAACCAGGCCATTGTCTCACCGACACACCTCCTCCCCTTCCTGTTGATGGTCTGGCACCCTTTCCAGACCTGGGTCCTTCTCTGTGTTAACCCCTCCCCACCTCTCAGTCTCATCTGATAGACCTTCTCTTTGTCTCTACTGGCAAGTGCCCCCAACGTCTGCTCAGCCAAACTCAGTTGTCCCTGACACCCAACACATTCCCTTGGGACTCTAGGACCTCTCCTAGCCCTCAAACACCTCAGGGCCATTCTGCTAGCACAGAATAAATGGGCTTCTCTGGGCTCAGAGGATACAGCTCCCTGTCCTTACCCACTTCAGCTAACTGGCCTTTGCCCTTACAGACTGTGGGTAGGCTTCAGTTTTAAGGAGCCACCAGGGTCTGGGTTCCATATTGAGCCCAGCTTTCTATGTTGGTTGTTTCCCTATGAAGCCCTAAGGTGGCCAAAGTTGGTCAAGTCTTGGAAGTGTCCACCAGGTGGCGACAGAGATGAGTTCGCCTGGCTAGACAGGTGCCTGGCAGAGCCCGAAGGACCTAGGTGTTGGCAGAGGAAGAAGGGACTGTGATAACCCAGCCTGGAAGCCCCACGGCTGCCACCAATCTAGAATGCCAGCACAAGTTCTCTTAGCACTTCCTCTAAGCCTCCCAGTCTCTCTCTATCCCAGAATGCTCTCCACGGACTCTCTCACCTCCTAACTCTACCCTTCTTCTCTTGAACACACACTGAGTTTTACTCGTTTTGTTCTCTTGGCTGGCAACTGCTCCCCTCCCAGTGCCCCGTGCCTTACCCTGGTGCCACCACACAGTACTGCTGGTGGAATCTCGGGCCCATTCGTTTAGGTGTGGGGTTGGTACTGGGGGCGGCAACCTTTGAATGAGTGTTGCAGGCAGATTTGAGCCTCTGCTAGCCCATTCTGGCTTTTCTTTCTTTCTTTTTTTTTTTTTTTTACACCAGCCTGATATTCATCAGCATGACAACTCCTCAGGTTTACACAAGTGTGTTTGCACAAACCCCTGGGAGCTAGCTATCTCTCACCGACCGACCAATGTCACCTGCTCTGCCCCACGGCTGCGTCTACTCCTTTCTGTTAGCCACACGGCCTCTCCTCACTGACTTGTGCTGGGAAATCTCCACTGACTGAACCCTCTTGGTTGGCTTGTAGGCAGCAGCTACGAGCTGGTTGCTGCCTTTCCTGTTTGGCGTGTTCTCAGGAATGATTCCTGAACCCTTGCTGTCTACGACAGCTCTGTTGGCTATTTTGATTCGGTCTGAGACAGAATCCGTCTCCTTCCAGATGGGTTTAGGGGAGAGAGGGTCACAACGGGGACCCCTGTCACAACCTCTTCACACTCACATGTGAATCAAAGGCTCTTGGGAGTAAGTCCTCACATGAAAATGGAAAGCCCCAGTCCAAAGACAGAAGGGTGGTGGCTTTAGTGGGTCATCTCTCACCAGAGCAGAGGTGACACACCTGCTTAGAAGCAGGAGACCCACAGTGGCCAGGGGAACTAAGCCTGTTAGAGCCAACATTTATTGTTATACAAGCCTGGTGTAGCTCTGAGAGGGGGCCTGCTGACACCAGTTTGGATTAGAAGCCATATCGCTATAAGGGTGGAGGGAGGCGTAAGATGCCTTGACCCCCAGGCTTTTATGTCAAAGACATAAAAGGAACTCTCCACAGGAACTGGAGACTGGGGGGGGGGGGCAATAGCATCTGTGGTAATACGACCCCAAGAGAATCCAGCAGATCACAATATGTAAAAAAGATAGTCTTTAGCGACAGGAAAGAATACCTGCTCTCACTGAGACTCCCAGTGATGTCAGGGTGATCTCAGGATCAAGGGGCCCGTGTGGTCATGCCTCTGACCCTTCCGGCAGTAGTTGGTGTGTAGTTGAGAGCCCAGCACGGGCAGCTCGCTATTGCTTTGGTTGTGCATAAGGCTAGTGGGAGTGATCCTATTTGACAGACAAAGCCACTTGGTGAGCACTGGCTGAGGCTGTCTTCTCCCTCCTCAGAGGTAGGTCCCTGAGCTCCCAGATCTGACGATACACTGGGACATTTCCATCCTGAGGGAGGACCACAACACAGCGGTGATCCCCTAACTGAAACTCCAGGTCACAACCATATCTGCCTGAGGTAGAAGAACTCACCCACCCAGAAGAGCTGGCAGATAAACGCAGGGAGGGGGCTGCATCCTCAGAGAGAAGTCTCAAGGACAACGCTTAACCCAAAGCGACTCGAGCGCCCCAGTGGAATTCTAGGCACCGTTAGGGACAAGCGGTTGCTTTCCAGGAGGTGTATGCAGATTTTGTGCGCCTGACTGGCAGAGCGGCCTTGGGAGGAGGAATCTGATGCTGGGTCCTCCTTGCGTCCTCCAAGGTTAGCCCTCCCTGCTCTCTAGCTAGCATGGACCCAGTTCTGGCTGCAGCAAAGGAGTGTGTCCCTTCGAAAGGCTGGAGCCAGCGGCGTCGCTGCAGACCTCTGCTCCAGGGGCCGGCGTGGGGAGGGTGCGAAGGGGCCTGGCGGCCTCTGGCGGTCAGACCAGGGAGACCTCCGCTTGGAAGCTGGAGGAGCGGCGGGCGCTCGGGCTGACACGGGTCAGCATGGACACCTGCGTGCTGCACGTGGCGCCGTTGCTGCCTCCCCACGGATGCTGGGATTTGGAGCCCCAGCCCAGGACGCCCTGGAGATGCCAACGCCGCCACTTCCGCCGCAGCTCCGCCTGCACCTAGGGGCGGGAAGGGTGGTTAGCCTCCAGCGTAGCATTGTTAGGCGGGCCATAGATGTTCCCTAACTTAAATTGAGAAGCCTGGGTTATCTTGGGAGGCTTGGGACAGAGCCGGGAGCCAGAGAATCAACTCAGGATCGTGGAGAGAGGAAGATGGGATGCAGAAGGTCATAAAATGCAGTATAGGGAGGCAGAGGGGTGCTGCCTGGGGAGTGTACCCCAATTCTTCATCCAGGCATCCACTTGAGTGTGTGTTTGTGGCAGCAACTGCACCTTCCTTCAATGTCTTACTCCCAATTTAGCCCACACCCACTTGGCTGGAAGTATTCTTCACCTCTGCTCCTCAACCCACGCAGGGCTTGTAAAAGTTCAGGCGTTAAGTCCTCAGGTCCTTGGAGCAATCAGGGTGCATTTTAAAATGAGATTGCAGGCAACTAGGGCGCTGCAGTCTGAGAACCACCCGGGAGAGAGGCAAGTTTTTAGCCACTGATACCCCATCAAGGTTTGTAGACCCTGAGCCCGCCCACCAGGATCTAGGAGGCACTCACCTCACCATTGAGGAAGCAGTAGAGGATGGCCACCACAAAACCCTGAGAAGGAAGAGGATAGCAGAGGTGAGGCCAAGGGACTGCGGGCACTCCCAGCCCCACCCCTTCCCCCCTAGTTCCCCCCCCCACCCCACCCCCCGCCAACCCTGCTTCCCCACAGCTCTTTCACCCCCCTGCTTAAGGAAAATGCTGAGCTTTACAAAGGGGGACCTTATCCAGAACTTATGACAAGGAAAAGACTGGAATCCAGGGCCTACGCCAGCCTCAGGTAAATTCCTCAAACCATGTGCATACCTGGAAAGACCCCACGACAAGTTCGAAGACCATTTTCACCTGGGCCTTAAAGTTGTCAGGGAAGAAGGCAAACATGACATAGTGAACTCCAAACAGGGGGATAAGCAGAAGTGTAGACTTGGCCAGCCTCCTGGGGACAGGGAGAGGCAGGGTGTGGTTATGTATAGCCACACGGGTAAATGGGGATGGGCATACCAAATAAATGCTGATAGCGACCAGACCCTGTGAGGACACAGTGGCTCCTCCATCCCCATTGCATGCCTACTTTACCCTTGTCCACTGTCTCAGTGTTCCTACTTTCCTTTCACACTACCTCCTTGCCTGGGGAAAGCACATGAGAGAATTAAACTCCCTTCTTTCTCCCCCTTCTGGAGGAAGGCCGCTGAGGAAGATGTGTTATGTAAGACTCAGGAGGCAAGACTTCCTGGTCTGTGTCCCCAGCTGAAGAGTGAGGGATGCCACACTTCGGGGATGCAGCGGGTGTCTCCATGGACACTGGCTCCGGGGCTGGCCACATGTGCCCGGTGTGCAGGAGGGTGAGGAGTGTTCTGTGTTATTCCTGCTGTCAGGTCAGTATGTGCAGACTTGCGGCTCCTGCTCTTCTGCTGTGGCCCTGTCCCCGGGGTTGCCACTTTCCCTGAGCCAGCATCCCTCCCGCATCTCACAGCAGTACAGAGCCCTGCTCCAAAAGACCAGCTTGTCTTTCTGCTGCCCTAGCACCAGCGAGGCCAGCATTCCCTCCAAGCACTCTATGGCCCTCCACTGTGTACACTCAACAGACCTCATAGCTGGTCCAAGCAGTGAGGGCCACGCTTTCCTGATTCCCTGGCAGAGAATAGGTCAGAGTGGATTTGGGTGGGGTAGAAACATGTTTGCCCCTGCCTCTCCTGCCTTGGTCCTGGGCTCCCACTCTATGCAGATGCACCCTAGCCCTCCTCTCCTTCTCAGACCTGGCTCCCAGCCACACCTCTTTGGCCATGAACCCATCCCATACTCAGAGGCTGACAGATGGAGGCTTTCTTTAAATTGAGAGTGGGAACCGACAGCCCCTCCTTGGGGATCGCCAGCTCCAGCTCCCCCTTCTGTCTATGACAGCTGTTCCTTTCCATTGCACCCACACAGACCTGGCCACGACCAGCTTGGTTTCTGTCCCCCAGATTCTAGCCCCTTGCAGCCGGACTTCTGGGAAACAAAGTCCCTGAGGTAAAACACCCATGCATGCGAACAGGACAGGAGTGCTGCCTCTCCCAGTAGGCAAGCCCCGCACGTCTCCTTCTGGAAAGGAGACGGATGTTCTGCCCACGCAGCCTGCTGGGGACAGAATGCTGTCACACCAGGAATGAGAGGAAGCGTCAGCCTCAGGCCTGACAGTCACAGGGTTCCAGAACAGAATCCCAAATCTAGTAGCTCGTGACTCTAGTGGGGACTCTTCCAACCACAGCTGATTCCCCTCACAGAGGCCAGTTTAAGAACATCTAGGACCCCAGGACTGGACGGCCCTTGTGGAATTGCCAGGCTTATCTGACCTGCATGGTGGCTCTGTTCGTCATTGCCACCATGAATGTGATGGTTCTCCGGGCCTTTGCATGGGGACTCTGGTCATATTCTGTGTTTCCTTCACTTGCCTGCAAGTTCTGCTTCCCTTGCTGGTCTCCTCATAGAAACTTGCTGGTCACCCCAGTGCCCAGCACAGGGAATGGCCCTTCTCTCTTTCCAAACAATGAAGTATGGCCCTTGCAATGGTTACTATCAGTTGTCAACAGGACTTAGAATCACGGAGGAGACAAACCTCTGGCTTGTCTGAGAGGGGATATCTGGATGTGGCTGAAGTGGGAAGAGCCACCCTGACTATTGGTGGCACTGTTCCACAGGCTGGGGCCCCAGACTAAGAAGGAGGAAGTGAGCTGAGGGCTGGGTGTTCATCTCTCACTTCGAGACCGGATGCAGGACGACCAGCTGCCTTAGGCTTCTGCAGCCGTGTCTCTGCCATGATGAGTGGTACCCTTGAACTATGAGCTAAAACATGGTTTTTAATCGATTCCTTAAATTGCCTGTCTGGCATCTTGTTACAGCAACGAGGAAAGAAAATGCCTCCTCTCTTCCTGCCCATAGTGGCATACCCCAACCTTGGAGGGTGAGGAAGTGCTTATCTGCCTTTTGTACAAGTGGGAGCATTTTACTGGGGATCCTGAGTGTGACACGGGCTGAGGCATGGAGACCTCTCAGCCTCTCAGCCTGACATGATCTCTGTAAGGATGTGATTGTTAGCACTAGGGGGTACTGAACGTGGTTGCCTCAATGTGGAACGGGGTCTCCCAGGACATCCCCTGCTGGGCATCTGTTGCAATCCCTTCTCTACCAGGTACAGGTCAGACCAACACACAGTGTTGAGGCAGGCACAGGATTTTCACTCCCTGCAAGCTCCCTGGAGCAGCAGTTTGAACTTGAAGGACCTTGAGTATCAGGAGAGCAGATGTAGGTGCAGAGGGCTTGGGGATGGGCAGGGGATGCTGAGCCTGGCCATGGGGAAGAAAAATGTCTGGCCTGGGGTAAGTGTAGGCATGAGAGGTGATGTGTAGGTGGTTATCTGAGGACCTCAGATGGAACCTTGGAGCTGGGGTGCTGGGCCCACACTTACGAGTATGGGCTACTGTCATTCTTCCCAATGTCGGGTGGCCGCAGTTTCTGAACCAGGATTCGGATGATGCAGATAAAGAGGATGAAGTTCACCTGTTGGATGAGGGACCCCAATGTTGGTCACTTAAAGAGAGGAAACTGGGGTGGGTTGTTTTTTTCTCCAGTGCTCTGCCACCCCTCTATAGTACCTCTTAGCAGCTCTTCCCTTTGGGGAAAATCATTTGGGGCTCTCCTTTGCATCCCAGAGGACTTGCCCTCCAATTTACCTGCTCTAGAGGGAGAGCTGGAAGCAGAGGTGGGTGATGGAGACCTGAGGTTCCTTTCTGACCCGAACCCTCATTTCCTATGTGTTCTGAGGTTGGTTGCCTACTCTGGGCTTAGTGGTGAGAAGGAAGCTTACCAAGATGGAGATGAGGATAGGGGCCTTGATGATCCACCACAGTGAGGAGTTGATGATGGTGTCCCAGCACCTGAACATGAATGGAGATTTGGGTGAGAGAAGTCCTCAGCCTGAGAGTAACCCATCCCCCAGGCGTCTTTGACTCCGCTCCCAACCCCAGAATCTGTCACTCCCCACATCTTCCTCCAGCCTCTTACTCTGAGCTTGATGCTGTGGTTTATCTACCTGCCAAACCTTGGCAGCGGCATCACACCCAGGGACTCTGACCCCAAATGATAGCAGCCAGAGGGGAGGGATGGGACAGCATCTTACCCAAAATCCTCAAAATGGATCCTGACAATTGTCCATATCATGATGAATACACTGGGCACTCCTGTCAGGGCCAAAGAAGAAAAGAAGAGAAGGAAACGGGGGAGGGGGCAGAGAACACAGGGAGAGGGTTTGGAGGAGGAACCAAAGGAAGGGAGGGAGAAGGAAGGGTGGGACACTTAGGGCTTCTACCTACAGTGTGCATGTTGTTCACAGACTCTCTAAGAGTTACTGCCGCTATGTGCCTGAGGGTCTGTGACCACTTAGACAGGTTTTTCTTTCTTTTCTGATTTTAGCCCTATATAGATTGACAGTATCCCTCTGGGTCCGGATCAGAAAGTGGGGGGATACATGGTTTTGTTCAGGCTCTGTACTGTAAAGCAGCTGTAGGAGGCTGGGAGGGGCCCCAGGGTCACACATTCTGGGGATATTCATGAGTGTTGGTGGAAAGACTCATAAGCAGGCTAGGGTTGTACCCTCCCACCTCCCAGGGAGCTTCCCCAGCCTAGCCCCCTCCCGGGTACCATACCCCAGCCGATGAGTATGTACCCCCAGAAGTACTTCCGCTCAGAGAAGAAGGAGACGGCCAGCAGGGTGTGTAGGTAGAGGCCCTCTACCAGCAGCCAGAAGAAGTTGGCCATGACACAATACTGGAAGAAAACCACAGCTGCCTTGCAGCCCACCTGTGAGGAGGAGTGGAGGGGGTTCAGAGGTGGCAGGTCCCTCGCTGCCCAACCTCTGTTTGGGGGTGGGGGACAAACACAGTTGTGCCCAGCCAACTTGGTCGCTGTCAGTTCCCAACCAGGCTCTTGAAACGTGTTACAGTGGATTTTCCTGTGATATTGATGTTACATCCTTGGGCACTTTGGCCGAGCTGCTAATTTAAGTTATCCATCCATCAGTGTGTCTTCTGCACGTCTTCTGGCTACGGATCCCAGTGTCTCTGGGCATGTCCAATCCTCAGCCTGTGGCTGGCTGCATGTGGCTGAGAATAGCCATGGAGGCAGTCCAACACAAAATGGTAAGCTTGTTTAAAATGTTAGAGTTTTTTTTTTTTTTTTGGGTCGTATTTTTGGTAACTGCATTTTGAGGTTTTCTCCAGCATGAACCTGACTGGTAACACAGTGGTGTCACAATGTCAAAGGCTGAAGAAAGTTGCAGATGTCCTTCCTGTCTGCCCACCCACCTGCCCATTTACCAGACATTGTCTATTTGTGCTTGAGTGGGTTTTCAGTCAATCTCACACTGTAACCAGGCTGGTCTAGAACTCACTATGTAGCCCTGGCTGCCTTCCAACTCACAGTTACACCTCAGCCTTCTGCCTCTGGGGTTAGAGGTGTGAGCTACCATGCCTGGCCATTTATGCATTTATTGTCCTCCCCTCTCATGACAATTCGGCCATCCATTTACCACCGACACATCCATTCATCAACTGTATCTGCTCACCCATCAACCACCCACCCACTGAAGCTGTCTCTCCACCCACCCACACACATAGCACCCATTTCTCCATTCATCTGTCCATCCACTTTTGAGCCAGCCCAGGACTCACATTAGCCCTGCCTGTGTAACCACCTGCCTACGCCTTCCAATGGCCCTGCCTTCATTCTTCTCTATAGTGTTCTCTGCGCACTCACCACCCCCCTTTCCCCTCCTCACAGCCCGTTGCTCCCTGCACCCTGTCCTCCAGGGAGCACTGGGAGGAGCTAGGAGCCTGACGGTGGATTCTTGTTGGAGCCTTCAGGAGCTCCCTGACCCTGTGTGGGTTGAGGCTTTGAAGGGGATGCAGAGACAGCGTAGAGAAGGCTGAGGGGAGGGTAGAACAGGTGCGCTGGCTAGTTTCCTGTCAACTCCACACAAGCTGCTGTCTGCTTGGAAGAAGAAACCTCAATTGATAAAGTGTCCCCACCAGCCTGGCCCGTGAGTAAGGCTATAGGACGTTTTCTGAATTGATGACTGACGGGGGAAGGCTCAGCTCACCACAGCGGTGCCATTCTCAGGCAGGTGGTCAAGGGCATTATAAGAAGGCAGGCTGGGCAAGCCATGAGGAGCTAACCAGTAAGTAGCATTCTGTCATGGCCTCTGCTTCTGTTCCTGCCTCCAGGTTCTGGCTCTGACTTCCCTAGATGATGGACTGTGAGCTGTGTGACGAAATGACCCCTTTCCTCCTCAGTTGCTTTTGGTCATGGTGTTTATCACAGTGACAGAAAACTAAGGAGGAAAGGCAGGGGGCGCTCTTCCTCCTGGGGACCCTAGGAGCTGGTGAGGAATGGCCCAGGCAGGAGATCCATGAGCCATGGAGCAGGATGATCAGGCGCTGAGTGGTCTCCTCACAGAATCACTCAGTCCACAGCTTCAAGTCACTCTCTCACGGACACCATTTATTTCCCATTCCCCCTGAACACACAACCTGGGCTGCCTCCCTTCCCCCCGAGGCCTTTGTCTGTAAGGCTTCCTCAGGGAGCAGCCTTCTCTTTCCTGCCTGGGACTGGAAAGTCCTTTCCCGGGTCACACTCTAGTCTCTCCAGAGGCAGGCTGGCCCTGGCAGCTTTACCAGCTCTCTGGAGGTTGCAGGCCTCTCTCTGGTCTTCTCTTGGCCCCAGCCTGTGGACTCACCCTGGACTTTTCTCCCCACTTGAGATCCCATTATCCTGGGAATCCCACTACTGATCTGGAAGCAGCGTGCTGCCTCTCTGGGCTCACTCAGAGGTCAGGCATCCTTAGAACACAGCATAGGAGCCCTGCTTCAAGCCATGTCCTGGGGTGAAGTCCTTTGAGTTCCATAGAGACTACGGTGGTTAATATTGTCAACTTGACAGAAGCTGGCAAAACCAGGGCGGGACTGAGGGAGCTCTTAGATTTTGTTAATTAGGAGGTGGCCAGCATGGCCTGGGGTACTGACTGAGTAAAAAGAAGACGGTGAGTTGATCACCAGCAGTCATCTCTCTCTGCTTCCTGACAGTGTGTGCCGTGTGACCCATTGCCCCACGCTCCTGCCTCCACAGCTTCCCCACCATGCTGGGCTGCAGCTCACACCGTGAGAAAAAAAAAACCCTCTTTCCTTCCATTGTGCTCTTCAGGTATCTTGTCACAGCAATGAAAAAATTAGCAAATACAGAGACAGGCTCTCCAGCGCCTGGCACATTCCTCAGAGGGTCTCTGAGCCGCCTGACCCTAGGGAAGCCCAGGACAGGGCTGAGAGAGGCAGGCAGCAAGAGCAGGTAGGGAAAGACAGTGGTGTGCGGAGCAAGATCTTGGCTGTAGGGAATGGAGGGCTGAGCTGGGAGGAATGTGGAGGAGGACTTGTACAGATGGGGAAACTGAGGCAGGGAGTGCCCTGAAGTCAGATCAGAAACTCGTGATGAGGCTCTCTGGGCATTGACTATGAGGAACCTACTTGCATTTCTTACTAACAAATATATGAACCCCCAAATGGCCCAGAAACCTGAAAGGGAAGTGCAATCCCTTTCAAGGTGGTCAAGGTGTGTGTGGTTCTGTCCTTAAGGAGAGAGGTGGGACAGGGAGGAGGAGGGGAGGGGGACAGGAGGGAGAGGGACAGGGAGGATAAGAAGAGGGAGAAGGAGGAGGAGAAGGAGGAGGAAGAGAAATAAGAGAAAGATGAGGATCAAAAGGAGAAGGAGGATGTGTGGGGTCAGGTGGGTCCTCACCGAGGCCTCAGAGCAGTGGTCCATCTCCCCGCTGTTGAAGAGGGCCATGTCCTTGATGAAGACGGCAGTGGCCCTCAGGATGAAGGACATGAAGAGATGCATGTGGATGTAGTTTCTGGTACAGTGCAGCTTCCTGCAAGGGGCAGGGACATCTAGGATGCAGAGGGGCCTTGGACTACCCCATCCTGGCTGGCATGGTGCCATGCTTTAGGCAAGGAGGCAGGAGGAGATGTAGGACTCCAGGTTACAGGCCCCGTATCCAAGGTGACACATGCCCAGTCCCCAACCTCTTGTGCCTCAAGAGTGTTTTGTCAGGCTCTACCCCTGGTGCCCAATATACAGGAAAGGGGACAAAGGCTTCTATACAGGCCACATCTTGGCCACCTGCTGTCAGGGTTGGGATGGCTGGCCTAGCAGAGACAAGGGCAGAGACTGAGCTGCCTGGGGCTGGGCCTCACCTGAACAGGCTCAAGATAGCCATGGCAACCAGGAGGCTGGCAAGGGACAAGCTGTAGCCAATGGTGTAACCGGTCTTCACGGCATCGTAGAACTCAGTCTGTTGCTGCTGCAGGGAGGCAGGCAAGGATCTTGGGTAAGCGGGGGCTCAAAACAGGCTGTTGATGGGGATGGGCCAGCTGTTCTCTCCCTGACGCCCCTGCCTAACTTAAGGAAGAAGTGCTTAGGACTACGAAGAGCAGCTGAGTGGTACTCGCTAAGCCCTGGTTTTCATGGACAAATGGACACTGTGCCCAGAGGGTGATAAAAAACAAATGGATTCTTCTTTCTGCTCTACAGGACGGACATCAGCATGGAAAAGAGTGGAGACCCCACAACTCCCACCTGTCAATCACTCATTTTTAAAAATACAGTTTTGAGAGAGTGTCCCTGTATAGCCCAGGCTAGCCTCAGACTCATGATCTTATTGCTCCAGCCTCCCAAATGCTGGGGTTACAGATGTAGAGAGGCGAACCAGTTTGGGGGTTCTATTTCAGTTTTGGCTCCTCAGGGATTAGCCCCCCCCCCCTTGGGTGTGATCTTCATGAAAAGTTCTGTGTATACCCTGTTAGAGGAGCCCAGGGGATGGGTCTTGGGAGATGTGAACTTGAGGAGGGTGGACCGCAGGATTTACAGAGGCACAAGACCCCCTCACCTCATCCAAACTAGATGCCCTGTCACTCAGGCCGCAGGCAATGTGGTAGGGGCCGGGCTCCAGTTGTGACCAGCCTTCTTCAGTGCAGCTACGGCTGATGTTATAGCCTGGAAGCAGGCGACAGAGACACTGAGTCTAGAGTCAGGAGGCAGACCGGGGCTGTGTCTCGTTCTGTCCATGGTGCTGCCAGGCTCTGGTTCCATGACCCTTGAGGTGAGAAGTCCTGCAGGGCTGCTGGGGGCCCTGCTGTCCGGATGACAGACTCAGCAGATGTCACTGCCATTCCATTTTGCAAAACAGAAATTTGGCTCCTTTTTTTAGCTCAAATGCAGAGGCAGAAAGACTCTGGTTTGTGTACATAGTCACCACCTGTCCAGCACCAACTGAAGGCACAGACGGATGAGCGACTTAGTCATGCGAACAGAAAGGTAGCACGCTCTACACTTGTCAGAGAACATTAGTCCAGGAACATGTGGGCCTGTGGATTTACCAAGTCCATGTCACAAGAGCCAGGCAAGAGATTGTCAAAAACACCAGACCAATGAAGGGTGCGAGAAACTCCCTCACCTGAAACCTGTAAAGAGCTGGACGCCTGACTCTCCAGTGGCCCCACTGACCTGTCATCTGACCCAGTGTATATGTCAGGGGACAGAGAATGTCTTGCTGTCCCTGGGGCTGCCACTCAGCACGTTTCCCATTGCTCAGCATGGCCCACTCAAATTCCCATATATCCATCTACCCATCCATCCTGTCTGTCTGTCCATCCATCTGTACCTGGTCCTGCCTGTGTCTTGCCTCAATGGTACATTTGCCATACTGGGTGCTGTGTCTGGGCTCCGTACCTCCAGTAGCCTGCCAACTGGGGTCCTTATTAGCTTATCTAACCACCAGATTTTCTTTTCGCATCTGTCAGCTCTGCCTTTAATTGGAGTCTCTGTCTTGAGAATACGGGGATTGCAGATGCACTCACACCAAGTGTCTGTGTTTACAAGGGTACTGAGGATCCGAACTCTGGGGTCCTCATGCAAGCACAGCAAGAGCTTTGCCCATGGAACTCTCTCCCCAGGCTTCCTGTAGGCATTTTACCCGGCTACAGTAAAATACTTCCTTCTAACCCTCTGGTTTTTTTTTTTTTTTAATCTCCCATTGGAAACAAGATTCTTTGTAGGTGGGCATTTGTTCCTCATCCCTGTTTGCCCAAGGCACAGGACTGGGGGTGGGCATCAACCTTATCCACTCTTGCAAATGACCCTCTTGCGATAGAAGGCCAACTGCGTGTCCTCTCCTTCACACTCTCTGTCTATCCAGACACTAGTCCTAGTCTCCCATTTCTCTCCATCAGCTTCAGAGCTGGACTCATGGAGTGTGGCTGCATAGGCTGCTCACTTGACAAGGTCATCTGGCCGTTGGGTACTGAGGGCTCAGATATCCATACTCAGATACACTCTGGGGCGAGCATGGCCGTGCCTATGGAAGAGCTAGCTTGTTCACATCCCTCAGGTCCTCACCTCAGAAAGCATCAGGGGCTGCCCCGCCTCTTCCTCCCTCCCAGACTCTGCCCACTTATTATACATCTGTTTATTGTCTCACTTAAAGGTGTCTCCAGCTAACACTGAGGCTCCCAGAGGGCAGGCGGGTGGCAGTTTCCAGTGTCCCTTCCCGCTGTTTGTGGAGCAGAGCGTGGTGCCATGGAAGCCATCACGTTCATGCTGATTAAATGTGGTCCAGAAGTCCCCTTTTGTCTTACATGTGAATGTTCGATCAAATAGAACACAACCAGTTGTGTAAGCAAAGCTGTGTGACAGTTTCCTGGGGGCCCCAAAGGTCATATGTTCCAGGCCTTGACAGACTGAGTCACAACCAAGACAACAAGAACATGGGGGCCGTAACTCAAACATGCCCGTCTATCAGTTATTAATTGCTGAGCAAATATTTAAGTGAGCCCTTCCCACATGCTTATCTCTATGTGAAGAGCTAATCAAATCCCACAACTCTTCTCCAGACCCAGTGCCATTCTTGGCCATGAAGGCCCCGGTTTTCTCTAGTCCCCCAGACAGCTTTCTCACTTCCTTAAGTGGCAAAGCCCCCCTAGATGGCCCCATTGACAGCTGGCCTTCAGTCCAGGCTCTTACCATGAATGGGGGAAAACAGCTGAAAGATGAGGGGGCAGTCCAGGACTACCACCTGGCCCCAAGGGGTCGTCGGCCAGCAGGTGAGGTTGTCCCACATCTTGCTGCAGCCTGTGGGGTGAAGGCAGAGGACATGTGTCATCAAATGAGCATAGTTAGGACTCTCTTCGTCCTCCTTTCTTAGAGGGGCTCCTGTTTGAGTGGGGGCCATGTCTGCTCAGGGGATGCACAGGTCCTGTGCTGACAGGAAGGAAAGAGTGTCCTCTCTCCACAAGGGATGGAGCTTCCCCACATGGTATCCTTTATTTGTTTATTTTAGACGGGGCTGGCCCTGAGGGAGATCTTGAACTTCTCTGGTCCTTCTGTCTCCGTCTCTTGAGTTCTATTGAGATTACAGTTGTGACCCACAATGCCCAGTTTATATGGTGCTAGGGATTAAACCCAGGACTTGTTGCACACACTATCTGCCAACTGAGCTATATCCCCACTTGATGGACAAGCCAGGAGCCTAGCTGGTTCTGCCCAATGGGAAACTGTCTCTCATTCTGGATGAACTACTAAGCATTTTTATGGGTGTCAGTCTTTTTGAATGACAGGAGCTGAGGCTCTGGTATCCAAGTCCTTGGAGCAGTGGCTTTAGCTCTGTCGAGCATTCCGGGAGAGCGGTCACGGAGACAAGGGAGCACAGCCTGCACTTGGCTTTGTTCTGAACTTTAATGAGAGTTAGTTGAAGTTTTGGAAGCCATGTCACCTGCTGCAGTGCCTGTGGTATCTGAGTCAGAGAGGAGCACGGCTTAGACTTCAATCTCCGTTTATAGCTCTCATTCCCAGAGCTTATATTTATAGGCACAACCTTCAGACTGTCCCCTTATCTTTTACTGCCATCACGCCTGCACATGCACACGGCATTCGATTATAAACCACTCTCCTTTCCGTGCTTTCTTTTATAGAACGTCGTATACGTTTCCAGCAGCACAATGAGTGGCCTTCATTTTTACGGTTTGTAAGAAAACAGACATTTAGATTTCAAAATCTTATATTACCAAATTACCGGCAGCACTTTTGAAGCAATTCAGCTCTGCACTTGGACCCTGCCTTCTCGACACAAACAAGGCTATTAATCCACATTCAAAAAAAAAAAATCAAGATCCATCCCAAGAGGTTCTGTTAGAGACTGTCACTGTTTAAAAACACGAGTGTGCGCTATTTGAATCTTGTTTTAGAATAGTAAAGGCAGCACTGGAAATGTTTGCTGTAGGATTCCGGGTACAGTGGAGTGTGCTAGTGGCAGCTGGCTCTTCACAGAGCTTGCAAAGCATAGCAGTCTGGCGGTGAGTGAAGATTTATTAGTGTTTGAGACTGGCTGGTGAGGATGCCAAGGGGTGTCTCCAGCAGTTCTAAAAAGTGGGTGCCCCTGTGATGGATGAAATGGCTCCTTCAGACCCCTCTCTTGAGGGCCTAAGTTCCTTTGCAATGCTGCCAGCCCTACAGATTTGCTCAGGAAACCCAACCCCAGAGTCAAAGTCAATGCCAGCTGGGCCAAGCCCAGACCAGCCCAGGTCCGAAGGTTCACAAGTTCTCAAGAAGGGGGCCTGGGAAGAGGAGGTGAGGGAATGCACCCGCTTGGGGGAAGAACAGGACTCTCAGCACCAAGGTCATGTGGCAGCCAAGGAAGGGAGTGAGGTGAGAGAGAGGAGGTGGGGCCTCCAGGTGCTGCAGCAGGCCTGCACCAAAGGCTAAGGAAGTCACACAGAGAGCAGTCTCTTCTTGTGGGCCCCCCCACATTAACATTTCCCCTCAGTCTCTCCGGAGTCCCACAGTTTGCTTTGGCTGATGGTCCATCTTCTGCTCCTAGGAAGGCATACAGGATGCCCCTCAGGCTGGGCAAATCTGCTCATGAATTATGACCTGTTTCAATTAACATCAGTAAGCACTAGCTTTGGAATGTGGCGACATTGTTTCAGCCTCTAAGTCAGCAGCTTATATAACCAGTCCATTTCACAGATGAGGAAACGGAGGCAATGCAACGCGGCAGGATGAGGTGTGGCAAGTCTCTCGCCTATTCACACATTCCTCTCCTGGTTTGCAGGGCTCGGTAGCATTTCTCTGGGAATTTGGCTGCCACTGGACTTTATGTACCCTTGATGACAGTGCTGGGCACACCCTGTTTTGCAGGCCAACTATTGTGTCTGGGTCTCTGCCAGGCCTTGGGCTTTCAGAGTTGCCAGCCTGAGCTGAAGAGTTGTGTGTGTGTGTGTGTGTGGTGGGGGATGGGGGAGTGAGTGCTGGGTCCTGTGCTCAGCTCCACCAGAGGTGGGAAAGAACAGAAGGGACTGGGCTCTGCCCTGTGGGGAGACTGCATTTGGCCTCAGAGAAGTACAGCACAGACAATGGCATGCTGTGAACTGGTACTGGGCCCACGTCAGCAAGCAGGCAGGGAATTGAGGAAAAGAGGCCCATGGGGTGCGGGTTGGGAGGCTCCTTGCAGGGGGGTACTTCAAGGTTGGTTTGCTGGGGTAGCTGGGCTGGGTCACCACGGAGTAATGACAGTCATGTAAATACCTGGTTTCTAGAAATGACTATGTGTCTGGGAGATTTCCCCACTCAAGGCTAAGACCCCAGTAGGAAAACCCAACTAAGAAGCTGAGATGAGGGATGGAGAGGCAGGCTGGCACAAAGGCCCCAGTGAGTCAACTGTATAGAATCCCCTACCCTATACACGACATACACTCACATGTACTCTCAGGCATACTGAGCCCAGGCATCCATGCAAATCTACATGCATGGGCATGAGGAAGGCAGGCCACCACGTGAGTATGACATAAACGCAGACGGCACACACACTAGTGCACCTGTGCACGGAGAGGCAGGGACACTGTACACCTGTCATATCCAGGTGTAAACAGATGCAGGCTTCTGTCTTACAGAGACATTCAGAGACAGGCAGAGGGGTAGACTCCGGAAGGTGGAGCGCAGCCTCAGACTCAGGCCAGGAGTGTCCATCTGAATCCACACGAGTGTGCACATCCAAGAACCTCCGCAGCCGTCAGGGCAGACACACAGTTTGCACATCTATGCCTGCCCTCTTCCAGGTCCTAGCCTGCTTGCTGTGTACGGGGTGTTGGCACCCACGGGCACCCTGTGCCAGCAGTGACCTCATTGGGATCATGAGTGTACTGGTTTGGAGAGAAGCTGCAATGGGGCCCAGGGTCTGGAGGCTGAGCTCCTGGGCTTCACCCTCAATCTTGAGGCCTGCTGAGGTCAGTCTGCAGCCTGGCCGAGTAGGGTGGAGTATATACACAAGGCAGGTCTAGTCACCCACTGACACAGACCTTGGTCTCAGGGTCACAGGAGTTAGGGAGCCATCCTGCCATCGAGTATGGCTCAGGCCAGGCCCATCTGTGAGACCCATGTCTATTTATGAGCACAGTAGGTCTGTGCACTAGGGTTAAGGAGGGACCCAAAAAGATTACATAACAGCTTCAGAGTGCTGTTGGGAGCAAGGACCCAGCAAGCCGGACAGGTGCGGCCTGCTGCCATTATGTAACCGTAAGCCCAGCCTGAGGAGCTGACCGGGAATGGAGGCCCAGCTGCCTAACTGTCTGCCCCACCATGCTAGCTCTTTCCCAATGAGCCTTGAGCCTCCCATCCTCCCAGCGCTTCTGCTTCCCTAGACCTGACAACTTTTCAAACTTGCTCAACTCTGAGTAACCAAGCCAAGTAGACAGAGGTCTCTCTCATTTGTCCTGATGGGCTGCTTTCAGGGTCTGGCCGATTGGTCTCTTCTAAGCTCTAGGTAAGTCAGGGGTTGAGGAAGTTGATTTGGGGTACCCCATGGTGGATGAGGGAGAGTCTGGGGCTTACGAAATCCACCACTCTCACCATGGAAAGAGACCATTGAGTACTCTAGGTCTGTCTCCTTGTCTGTCTCCTTGGGTAGCCCGGCAGGCATGGCTGGATGCTTAAAGACAGTTCCCAGAGAAGAGCTGGGAACTTCCCAGATGTGGGAGGGGTCAGGAGAGTGTGGTGACCTTTCCTTCTGTGTCTGAGGCCCAGAGCTCTGGGGTATGACTGTGCCCTTGATCCTCATCTGACTCACTACTGTGGGAGCCACATGCTTTGAACTGGGCTCGTGACACGAGGGGACTAGGGACTCCTCCGCTCACACCCGACTCACCTGTGGTTTCATTCTCCAGCTGGGCCTCCTCCAGGCACTGCTGACGCTGTAGGTCAATCATCTGCAGGTACTCACACTCATGGTGTGGGCCGGCTGCCCGGCTGCCCTAAGGACAAAGCAGACAGAAGATATCAACCAGTCTTGAGGAGCAGGGGGCCAAGCTGGGTCAGCGAAAGTTGAACCTGGGAATCAGCCTGAGGATCTCAGTTCCATACTGGATGTTCACTCTGGCCAAGGTCTTTACCCTAGCCTCATACTGAACCCCAACCCCAACCCAGTCTATAACCCATCCTAGGTCCAAATAAACTCTTTTCCCAGTTCTATTTTATACCCTACAAAAGCCTCAGACTGAGCATCATCCCAAACCATACTCTACTTCTACCTCAGCCCTAGACAGCACCCTGATCCCTACCTGTGTGCCCCAAATGTTCTCACTGACCCCCAGCTTTTGCTGTGAAGACCCTCTCAGGACTCTTGGCTCTCAAGCAGTGCAGCTGCTGTAAGGATTCTGATCTTGGAAAGAGCTTTACACTAGAGTCTTGAATTGATCATTAGGTTCTGCTACTCTGGCCCTGCCTCAGTCTCCTTGCATGGGTGGACCCTTGCTAGTGATTTTGTTATAGGACATTGGGTACCAGCCTCTAGCTCCTGTGGCGAAGCCCAGGCAGCCTGGCTTGCAGGACCTTCTTTATGGATGGATGAAGCCTCTACTCAGTTCTTACTCATGAAGATGGGAAAGCAATACTGACCCTTCTTGTCAGACCTCACTGGCTCTGTCACCACAGAAAAATAAAAACTAAAATGGATGCCACGAGGACCAGGGAGGCTTAAGCAAGCAAGCAAGCATGGCCTCACAAGAAGTCTGAAGACCACAAGCAGCCTCCTGAGCCTCTGCAAAGTTGGGAGAGGGGATGATGGAGAAGCCCCAATTCTCCCCCTGCCCTGCAGCAGGCCCTGACCCAGAAGCAGGGTGAGGTGGGCAGACACCATGACAATTCATGTCAGTGGGGGTAGATATGAGTTTGTGTAGTGGCCATCTGGGACCAAGGGGAAAATGTCAGGCCTTGGGGGTTTGTGGGTGTGGAGAAGGTAGAGGCCTCTGTGGATGAGCAGCTGGGCTGGGACAGCTTCAGTCTGTCTCTGACATTAGAAAGTGGCTGCTATTCTTGGCAGTCCTCTGTCAGTTTCCTTGTGTCTGCCTGGGTGGGAGAGCATCAGTGTCCACAGCACCCTAGGTAAGGCTCCAGGGACCTCAGGGTTAGAGACTCTGAGTCTGCCTTGCAGTGCTCATACCTGGGGCTCAGTCTCTGCCCGGAAAGTGGGTTTTAGTCCCCCACTACCACACCCCAACTCAACACCTTGCTGAAGTAACACAGACATGGGGGCTTCCTTGTATTTCCTCTCTCTAAGGAGACCCCTCTGGCTGGCAGCATCATAGAACATAGAACTTAACCAGTGGTCTGTGTGAGTCAACACCAGTGACTGACCTGCACCCAGGCAGCAGGTGCTCTCCACCGCCATCAAGAGAAAGGTCCCTTCCACTACAATAGGTCTTTTGTTCCTGGGAGCCTCGTCACTTCCCAGGTCGCCAGTGGTCCAACTAGCACTGTGGGTGTCCTAGCCCAGATCCACAGGAAGTCCCTGCCAACACGCCTCACTTATCCAGGCCTCGATGTCACACAGCAAACACAGGTACCCAGCTAACTGGGGTCCAGACATGGGCTGCCGCTAAGTTCTTTTCAACTTAGCATATGGAAAGTAGCACAGTGCTGTCACGGAACTTCATTAAGCGAAAGGCAGTTTGAAGGGGACCGGGTGCCTCTGTGTCCTCTTAGGAATTACACGCTGCACCTTTTCAGTTAGAATACTTGTATCGGTGTGGCTTCAGGGATCTGTGACTAGCTCATCTCCAGGTGTGGAGCATAGGGTAGTTTGGGGGACCTCTGAAAGAAAAAATCAGGCTGGCTGGCCAACCCTGTCCGTCATCATTCCACTTTGTTTGGTTTCCTCGTGAGCACCAGTCTACCAACAGCTGAATGCCTTTGGATCTGCAGCCTCATTCCAGACCCTCAGGGTCCTCCTCACGTTGTCACCTTGTGTCACATTGTGCAGTGGCTTGAAAGCAGGACAGGCCGCCTGGATGCCAGCTATGTCTGTGCACATGCTGCATGCACAAGCTCTCCTCTCCTCTGATGCCAGGTTCTCATTTGGGAAGATCCCCCCCCCCCACACACACACACTCTGTCACTGCTCCCAGTGAACCCTCTTGCAGAAGATTGGTGTGACCAAGACTTAAGTTAGTCAGTATTCCCAGCCTCAGGTCCTGGCACCCAGCCCAAGCCAGGCTCCTCTGAGGCAGAAGCCTCACATGCTGGGACTTTGGATTAAGCTAGGCAAGTAGGTTTAATTCTCCCCACTGGATTGGAAAAAACTTCAAAGGATCAGAGGCTGGGGCTTCTGTGGTGATGTTGTTGACAAACAGAACATGAAGATGAGGCCACAGAGGGTTGGCAGGATGGACTCAGAGAAAACCCAGAGCTGCCTGACAGGGAAGCTGCCTGAAACCAGATCTTCCCACAACACGAGCCAATAGCCTTGTTTATGGCTCAAGCTCGTTAATTTTCCTATCCCAGGAACTTAATGTGTTCATTCTTGCAGTCTGAGGACAGAACAGTGGATGCCTCTCGATTTTAGGGTCCCTCTTAAGCCAGAGTAATAACCATAAAGACTGCCAGCTGGTATTCCATACATACATAGAAAGACAGAGCCAGGGCAGCTCCCTCTGGCCCTTACCACTGAGGAATTCAGGCAGACCTTGGATTGCCTCTCCCATTTTTTTCCTTTTTCTAAGCATCTAAACATGTATATGTATCTACACGTACACATACATGCAAGTACACATAAATTATATATGCATACATGTCTATGTACATACACATGTATATATGTATATACATTGTGTGTGTACATGTGCACAAATGTGTGAATATAGAGACCAGAGATTAGCTTTAGGTACCGTTCTTCAGGCACATCTGCCTTATTGGGCTTTCATTGGCCTAGAACGTCCCAAAAGGACTGGGTTGGCTGGCTAGCAAGCCCCATGGATCCACCCATTTCTACTCCCCAGCACTGAGATTTCAAGTTCCTGCTAGCCACTCAGTTTTGTCTTCCTTCCTTCCTTCCTTCCTTCCTTCCTTCCTTCCTTCCTTCCTTCTTTCCTTCCTCCCTCCCTCCCTTCCTTCCTTCTTTTCTTCCTCCTGTTTCTCCCTCTACTTTTAGCATGGATTCCAGGGATCCAACTCAAGTACTGTGCTTGTATGGCAAACAAGTTACCAACAACCATCTCCCCAGATGCTCCTTTTTGAGTCACTGTGGGGCACCTACTTCTTAGCCACTTTGCCTCCTACTCTTAAATTGGATTCTGGCTGGCATCATGCAACTGTCCCTCCAGTAGTACTACCCCAGAGCATGGTTTTGAGTCAGGGAGAGGAGAGGGGCATGGATCCAGGAGTCCTCAGGGTAATCCTAAATTTTGGAGAGCTGTGAACCACAAAGAGGTATGGTATCCAGTAGTTAAACTGTCTTTGCCAAAATTTTAGTTGAGTAAAATACCCTCATTTGGAGGAATGTAAAGGAAACAGTGACCCAGAGAGGGACCTGAGGTCACCCAGTAAGTCACATCCCTAGATAGGACCCAAGTCTCTGACCCCTGTCTGTGTAGCATCAATCCTTTGCCAGAGATTTGACTTTGGCCATCTGGTCAACCATAGCCCTTGGGAGGACAAAGCCAGGGCAGCTCCCTCTGGTCCTTATCACTGAGGAATTCAGGCAAACCTTGGACTTCCTCTCCCATTTGTTTCCTTTTTCTAAATATCCTCATTATCCTTCTGGACTTCAGACACACAGTGGACATTGGAAAATTCCTTGGCCAAATACAGCCAAGCTTGTTGCTCACTGGATGAGCTCCAGGGTGGGATCTAGGTAGACAGTGAGCATCAGGGTGGGGCCAGAGAGAGTTTATACAGAATGAGGAATCAGGGTGGGTCACAGAGAGAGTTTATACAGAATGAGGAAGAGCTAGACAATAAGGGGTGGTCAGCATCCCAAGGTACACACAAACAGGCAGACATGAATCCCCATGTTGGAGGTTGCCAGAAGCTTGTGTAGATATGGCAAGGACTTCTAGGAATATCTTGTGAGGAGTCATGGAGATGAGATTTGGGAAGGGCTTAGAATGCAAGTTTTGAAGTATGAGCTTTGACTCCTGGGCTACGGGGACCCTCAAAGACGCGATCCAGAAGGATGAGGGTACACTTTGCAAAGACCTGTCACATTATAGGTGGTTGGATACAGGGAAACAAGAGTCTTTTGGGGGACAGGTGGCCTCTGAAGAGAGTATGAGATAGATTCGCCAGGGAAAGTGTGCTGTCTGCAGAATTCTAAACTCTAAGAATCACTATGAATGACTTGTGCCGTTGGGATCTGTCATAGAATTTGGGACCATCAATGGAGATGGGGATTGGCAGCAGTTGGCAGGATGCCCTGGTTCTATTTGATGTCTTCCTATTGCATTAAACCATCCCTGTATAGAAACCATCACACATTCTGCTATCCATTTACGTGTCCTCCATCCCCTCTCCCCGAAACCCAGATCATGTGACGATAAGTCCAGAGAGACCCTGATGACCAGAGTAAGGGAGAAGCTCTGTAGAAGACTAAATAAAGACCCCATCTTCTTGCTGAGGGCATAAGGCCTGGCAGAAAGGTGGGAAGGTATGGTAAGTTCACTTGTGTGGTTGCCATACCAACACATGCACGCAAGCACACACACGCACACAACCCCATGCCACACACACAAACACATACAATACACACATATGTTTACACACACCATATACACACAAACGCAGTACACACACAAATACATACACCATACACACATACAAATACACACATACCACACACACACCTCCACACACGAAAACACTACACACACACACACCACAACCCCACACCACACACACACATACCATACACACACATACATATACACAATACACACACCACACAAACACATATACATCACACACAAACACACTACACATA